AATATACATATAGCAACACTAAGTTCCTACTTAAGCACGTTTTACGAACTGTGCTTCAAGTCAGTTACTGGTTTTTTAAGTTCAAAAGTAGCATACGAAGTAGCACCGACAAAGATAAGAGAGACTGGGACGACCAATTCCGACTGATAACTCATCGGCAGCCAGCCGGCCGTAACCGATCCCAGATTTCGATGACGTGGGACCCCATTCCAGGCCCTTTTTTCATTTATTGAGACACAAGCTCAATTTTTCGTCGTTGGCGAACGAAAACAGTAACTCCGTTGGAAGTAAGTTTGTTCGATTTGAAACAGTGCTTTTTACAACAAAATGGGGGTTTGAAATATAATTATTTTGGAACGCGCATGCCCTGAGACAGGATCGGAGCGAGCATCCTACGAGCTTGCGTCCGCTGCTGTAACCAACGACCTGCTGCGAAGTCCGCCTCCCGAACTCTCAAATAAAAATCATTTCGCGATAGAAGTACCTTCGATAGGCACGTAAAAAATAAACGTTAACCCCATAGATCAGCCGAAGACCGAAAAGCACACGAACGGAGACGTTGATAGGGATGATGATAATACCCAAAAAACCTATAAAATAAGGCAAGCTAGCGCAATTTCCCGAGGCGTATGACAGGTAAACAGAAAACATAAGTCGAGTAAACAAAATAGACTTCAAACGACTAGCTAATCTCATGAAGATGCTCGTCCGGAAACCCATTACAAATAGAATTTGCTATGCGAGGTTTCAAGGAGGGTATCAGCGGACAAATTCTCGATCCGTGTCTATGAGAAACGGCCCAAAGTGAAGAAGGACTAAATTCTCATTCAAAAAACCAAAAAGATGCTAACCTCTTAAAACCTTCTATATTAAAAGGTGTTGGAAATGCATCTAGTCTCTAACCTAACCGGCAGTAAATTTCCCTTAAATACAAAAGCTGTCAGATGTTGTACAAACATTAAAGGAGAGGACATAGTCTGTTCAAAGTAATTCGGGCCTCTGTAAAAAATCGTGAATGACTGAGAAAGGAAGGGATGGGACTGAAGATTCACGTTACTTCTCGCTTTCTTTGGGCTTTAAAAATACGCGCTGGAGATCCAGTAATTTAGAAGATTTGCCAAAGTAGGTGAACTGGGGACGTGAAGAAGGCTTGTGGGAACTCGAAAAGACATCGATGCTTTCGGTAAGGGATTTTTCAGAGGAGTTCTTTGCATCTGCGGGACTGAGCTTCTCAAAAAATAAACTGGTCCCAAGCGTTTGCTTGTAAGTGCCGTGGAAAATTGCCTGACCGATCTGTAACAAAGTGGCAAAAAAACAGTTACTTATAGCATTATAAGTAGGCAATAACTATACACGTAACTTATGCCAGGGAACCTACGAGAGTTCCTACTTTCTCGTCTTACCATAGGCAAGATCACCTGCTATTAAGCTAAAAAAGGCCGTAGGAAAAATACAAGAAACTGGCTCGCTAGCCACGTCTACAGAACGATCGTTCGTTTACTTTAGCGCTTCGAATGATGACAGAGTAAAGTCGACTTCTCCAACACGTCGTTCATGCACTGCAAGGGCATGCGAACGAACCCACCCGCTATAGCATTTATTCGAGCTCCCATCCCAATTCATAATACGTTCAATCTTTGAAATTCACAATGGGCCATTAATCAAATGGTGGTTCTGCCTTTGTCCGTAGAACAATGTTCTGAACTAAATAAGACCTAGTAGAGACTTTACGCTGGTTAAACTGCTTATGTCAAAATCCCATCACCTTAAACCACATGACTGTGTCAAGGTGCGGCGGACCCTTTTGTAGTAAGATACGGAGGCGACGAGACTGGGGACTCAAATAATGTGCCCATTTCGTTGTTTGAAGATCAAAGTTGATTTCTCCAAATCCCCGAGAGCCCTCTCTTTCATCCCTGTTAAAGATGCGCGTGAACAAAACGTGTGATTGGGACGAAAAAACGCTCCGATTTGGCAATAGTTATGAGCTGTCACCCACTGTACGACGAACGGGCAAATTGTTCTAAAAAAGGCCTAAAAATGTCACATATAGTTGCCCAGAAGTTGAGACGATACGCGAAAAAAAGGGTTTGGATGACCCAAGAACCCAATAAATGCACTCTACACAGTGAGTTTTTACTACATAAAAGAAAGAGCTCTTTTAAATGTATTTTAATTAAAAAGGATGGAAAAGCTATTGCGAAAATTAAGAGAACCTTAATAAACACTCCAACGTCCTCACGCTGTGATGAACTGTTCAGCCGAACGCAGTGTTAATCTACCTGCATGTGAGAGGTCCTGCTATGTAATCTTCCGACTACTTGACAGGGCTTGGTTTTTTAACGGTTGTTTGTGAAGTTTGGAAAGGGTGGACAGTACGCACCCAATTCAAGTGTGATAAACATACGATGATCAGTGGCCGATTGAGACAAACTAAACCTATTGCTAACACCTATTTAAACAATGGAGGTTCGCTAAAGCCATCGGTGGCAATATCGTGATTGTTTGATACGATTTGGACAAGACTTTCTTCCACCTAAAAGAATAAAAGTCTTAATTTGGACGAATTAAGCCGAAAATGAACAATGGTCGTCATCAACATTGATCAATTGCGTGCATACATC